GCATACAAACACACATATGGCTTAACCAAACTTTTAGTAAAACCACAGTGTAAAGTCTTTATACTATGGTATGACGATGGAGTAAGAATAAGATATGTCACTTCTTTCAATCGCAGGACATTATAAGATATGACTAGGAAAACAAAACACAATACGCCATAACAAAGAGTAGAAAAACGCAAAACTTTATATTAAATAATAGTAGAATAACATCGTCCTCTTTAAAAAATAAATGCTTTAAAAAACATCTGATAATAGTGATAATAGTGATCTGATAATAGTGATCTGATATAGTAGTCAACCTTCGAGTGTTCGCAATCGCACGCATACTAATGGTAGCGGAATTAAACAAAATGATTCCAATCAACTAAGCATTACAATATAAATTATACTATAGACATTTTATTTAAACTTAAATATAATCGTAAACTTTTACAGTTAATTATTAATATTAATTATTGTGAATAACTTGACATGTACAAAAATTGTAATTACCTGTAATGTGTTGGAATTTAATCATCTGTAAACTGCAGGTACTTCATGATAAATAAATAAATAAACCAGTAATATGGACTTTCACAAAATAATACATACCTAGTTCAGTAAAATAAAAATGCTCTCAGCAATAAGACCGCCTTACTGTACTTATACAATTGTATCGTTGTGTTTGTAAATTGCCTTGCTTATTTCCTATATTGTATAATGCAAATAAAGTGTACTCATTCATTCATTCAAAAAAAATCTTTATCTAGTAGTAGGAGAAAACAAAGAACACATGCTTACCAACTCTCTTTTTTATACCACGAAGGTCGTAAACAAGCATACAGCCCGTCTAATAGTAGACGGTCACTGTAATAATAGCTAATAAAGACATACTTTGTCTCCAACACTGGGATATTAATAAAAATAATTTATTAAGACCAAAAAGATATGCAACAATACATTTTATTCCTAAGACTTCACAATAGGATCATAGCTAGGATTCCTTCAAGTCGAGGCCCTCTTCTACAATTATCAGATGTTAAATTAGTAAATTTAAGCTTTGAATTTAGAACATATACACATTACCAAAGGGAGACTTTGTACAAAAGTCGATTGCTTAGGTACCTCTGTCCCATTCGTGTTGCAACCGTGAAGCAGTTGTGTTTGCATGGCTGTGTCTTGGTTTGAAGGGTGGGATATGGCGTGAATTTACAGGATACAGAGGAATAACACCTGAGTCCTCAGGAATAGCTACGCATGGGGGGTATCATGGGCGAAACAGTATTTGTGTGTATCGTATAAAAAAATGTATACATATCTATTATTGATTATATATTTATAAACGTGAATAAAATACCAATTGATTCCAAATGACAATGAATATAGTAAAATTCATTTATTCATTAAAAGAAACAATTATGATTGTATTATCAATTTCCCGACACATTATCGTTGATTACAGTTTGCGTCACAAACTCAGTTCCTTACAGAAAAGATTTTTCAAAAACTCAATTCGTCATAAACTCAGTTCATTACTAATTTCTTAAGCAGACTAATAATAAATTGTTAATTTTTTTTTTAATGGATGATAATGAAATGGTAGACCCGTTTGCGCTATTGGTATACGCTGGCGGGACACCAGTGAGGGATGATAGATGAGGGTGAAGCAGGTCAGTTAGCCCATCGTAACAAATTCAACAATAAACCAATCACGATGGTTTCCAGGGGGAACCGCGAGGAGGTCGACCTGATAGGGTTATATTGTTAATTATAACAATGTAAATATCTACACTAATATAACAAAACGAAAGTGTTTATTTGAACACATTAATCTATGGAATTACCAGTTAGATTAGAAAAAATATTTTGTACATTTCTTAGCATATTTCTTCAGGAAGGCTATTCAGCATCCCAATATGATCACGATCGAAGCCTTGATATGCAGCTAGTACATTATAATTGTATGATAACAACAACACTTTTCTCAATAAACTGTATCCCCATCTATTTACAATCTGATAGCGGTATAAGTTAATTGACCGCATTTATACCGCTTAGATAGCGATTGGAATCGCTAAAGCTCCAATAAGTTTTCAACAACTGAATTTCAAACAGCCAAATTTCATAGATTACGAGATACAAATTCAAGGGATTCTAACAGCCATTAATTCTGATCACAATAAATTTCTATTTCTGCTAAGCAAATAAGGTTCCAAAATACATTTTTACATGTTATTAGTATCATGTTTTAGTCACAAACAGTGCCATTTTTTTTATGGGTGAAAATGGTATGGTAACCCCGCCTGCGCTAATGGGATACGCTGGCGGAGCACCAGTGAAGGGTGATAGATGAGAATGAAAACAGGCCAGTTAGCCCATCATGATGAATTCATCAAGAATTACCCATGATAGTTGCCAGGGAGAACCGCGAGGAGGACGATCTGGTTGGGTATATTGCTAGCAATGGGATTCTCAGTCTTCATTACTAACAATTCCCCCCCCAAACAATGGCATTAGATAAAAATAGTACCGACTATCTCTGTCTACGTAACGTCTACCTACGACTTCAATAATGAGAATTTTAATTTTTTATGTAAAGAAAAATACAGCCTCTAATGACAAAACGAGTAGAAAACCAGCCCTGGACTAATTCTGTCGATTGCAAAAAGTATCATCAATATCGGTGCAAAATTTAAAAAAATGCATTCTAAATAAAATGATTCTTCCTTTGTAAAAATAAATAAATATATTTAATAATGTGATCACTGGTAAAATACTATGACAGTTTTATTTTTTGAAGTCGTTTAAAAATAACTTTATCAATAGATATAATATAGATAAAATCCTTGAAAATTTAAAAACCGATACCATCTATTCCGGCTAGAATTTGTTTAATATCCGGTAGCCATGTTCAAGACCACAGATTTATTGGCATTTACATATAAATAGAAAGGAGGTAATAAAGCAATAGCTGACGGTTTCTTGCGCGTACCGTATATCCTGCCTCCGGAGTTCGTGGAATATCGGGCGAAGATTGTTAGTAATGGAGACTAGGGATTTTACTGCTAACAATTTATCATGTCAGATCGATCTTCACGTAGTCCTTCGTAGACTAACCTGAAGCCTACCAGTTTCTGAAGCCACGTCATCATTATTCCTCTCTAGTACCTCACCAGCGTAAACCAATAACACAGACTGGAATACTATTCCGTTTTCATCTAAAACAAGACCAGTACGTTGACCAGAATCGAAATTACGACTTCAGTTTTTTTAATTGTGTCAATAAACTGCTAAATCATGATACTATACCAATACGTTATTATTCTAAAACAGTGAAGTCAAGAGTCGTAACTCGTGAAGCACTTTAAGTGTACATTTTGTATTTAAAGTAAACCAAACAAGTAGGCACTGAGAAGCTGACGTTAAATGTATAAAATGTTATGCAGTAACCTCATACATGGTTTACAGGGCAATAATTATTTATGACTTGGCAAACTAGGTCCCCATTATCAAGATGTAATATCATAAAACAACATTTTTTTTTTATACAACTTAGAATGGCAAACAAGCTGACGGTCCACCTGATAGAAAGTGGTAACCGTCGCCTATAGACATGAGCAGTACCATGGACATAACAGAGTATACTGTTTCGCCCATGATACCCCCATGCGTTGCCATTCCTGAGGACTTGGGTGTTATTGCTCTGTACCCTGTAAATTCACGCCATATCCCACCCTTCAAACCGAAACACAGCCATGCAAACATAACTGCTTCACGGTAGAAACACGAATGGGACAGAGGTACCAAAATATCGTTATACGTATCCGCCATAGATAACTTATTATAGGTGCAAGTATCAGAAATCTATGTTCTTACTTTGACTTTTACCTTATTATCTAATAAGGTTTATAGTCCATTCATCATGATTGGCCAAGTAATCTGGCTTTAACCCATCTTTATCCTACACTATGCCATTAACATGAACAAGTGCACTATTCTATGTATGAAATTATTTATCTATTTCCATAAAACTGCTTGTGATTTTATACTACAAGGGGTATTACCTTCTATAACGAATTTGAAAGTTCACGACTATTCAGTCGGACAATATATACATCAGTAATAGTTTCTAACTACCTTATTGTAGAATGATCAAGTGTAATATTTTAACAGCAACTAACTTTCTAACAATTCCCGTAGTCACGCATGATTCTACGTCGAGAACACTTGACGAAGGTCTAAAAGTGAGGACGAATGGTGTCATTAATCTTTCGGTTACGTTCACGATCGCCTCTTCCCTTGTTGCTTTGGATATACACGGATAACAAAATTTTTCGAGAACATTAGTGTAATCGTTGTACAAATTTTTCAGATAGACAGTAATATAAGAAAAGGAAATTAAATCAAGCTTTACAACGTTGTACATTCCAAATTGTTTATACTTCTTCAAAGGTATTCTTGCAGAAAACTGCAAATGTATTCTGAAATATATCCATAATAGAATAATGGCTTCCACTTGAAATTATTAAACCAATTCAAATTCTGATCCTATGGGGAAAGTAACAGTACGAAATGCCGCCGCCATCAACAAACGATTCAATATTCCCGAGAGATCTCACGGGAAGGTCGTATTTTTATACAAGTTCCGCTGTTGAATGTTAAAGAGGCTGCGACAACATATCTAATTGTCTCTCGGGCGCTAAACGATCTCGGCACAATCTCTGTTACGCGAAACGAAAATCAATAGGGACATCTTGAGATGACTTTCCACTTCTTCTCGTTGAGCATCCATTTATAAGGTATCCAACGTTTTATATAATGTGAACGTTTGTTGACAGTGGGTGGGCTGCAACGTTATCAGCGCTATCGCCAACACGCCGACTCCGTACCCCCTCCCGAGTCGATGTCCTACCACGCCCTTACATCCTCGAGGATGCTGCGTCATGGACCACGCGTAGTCTTCTTGAGTCGACAGCGACTCAAATTCTACCAATTTCAGTGGTTATGTAATTACTTACCCGCGTGAGCAAGGTCCCGGTTTGGGCGCCATTTAGCGCGTGGTGGTGCCGCGGAGGAATGGAACTGCGCGGAGGTGCGGCCACGGCGACGGCCGGCGCACGACTGCCGCTTGGCTCCGTGGCGAAGCGCGTGCGTGTACCGAAAGCGGCGCATGTGTACAACTACCTACTTGTGATTTGTTTTGCTCTGCGACTACGTATCGGGCTTTCGTTAAAAGCCGCAGAAAACGAGATTATACTCTCGTACAGATAAAACATGCGTTGCGAGGCATTCCAATGAACGTCGGCTAAAGTTCTCAGAGATATTGTCGCCTCTTATTTATATCGCTTGACGTGAATTGCATTGGGTGCCGAGAGGGATTTTCAACTTTGCATGCTAAATTTGAAAAAGAGATAGATCCCTCGTCCCTCGGAAATATCTTATTACATTAGGATAAACTACTGCCAATTACACCAATCACTTATATTTGTTAACGGTACTTATTATCGTCAGAGATTTAGTTAATCTATGATGTAAATTCACTCATTCGAAGTATTAATAGTAAAATACTATAACATTCAATACTTGTAGTCAGATTTGTCAGATTCAATTTTTCTATCATCACGCCAGGTCAATTACGGTGTAGACAGAGATATACAAGCGCTAAAAACTTTATCTTATATAATTATATACTAGCTTATTGCTTCACTCACTTTCTCGCAAAAGCTGTCTTAGAAAGTCACATCTGTTCCGGGAATTGTCGTCTTCTCCCTCGAACTGATCCGAACCTATAAATATTAAATTAATGATACCTACCCTCGTATAAAACCTGTGTAACATAACAGATACCAACACTACCAATGCGGGAATGGAACGCATAGAACCGCATTGCTGGTGACAGGCTTGCACACCATCTTCCCAATTTTACGACTCTCGGCTACTGTTACCAATCGTCTGGACGACGGCGGACATTGTTTTTTTTTTTTTTTATGGATGAAGATCAAGTGATTGTAGATTGTCTACGATGGTACGAACATGGTAACCCCCCAACTTTTTCTTCTATTTTATATTTTATATTATTTTATATTATACATTATATTACCATATATGTATATAAGGATAAATCTTCAGTAGCGAACCGGTCAGAGGATTAATATATTCCTAGATCGAAACCCTAAAACTATTTTTTTCTCACACATTTGTAAAGTTTGGATTTTGGAACAGCGTACATTTGTTATTGTAGTATAATCTATACATCTGGCTATACTATTGGTATACAATGGCAGAGCTGGAGTACCAGTGGAGGATGATTCACAATAATAGAGACATGAGCATTAACACGAGTCTACAACTAGTCTTACTACAAAAATAATTCAAAACACTGCCTTACTAAACAGTGTTTAACAAAACTCAGTCCAAGTAGTTGAACATTGTTTAGTGAGATTTTGAATCGCCAAAATCTCAAAAAGATTGATACAATAATGAAATTTATTTTAATAAAACAACTGTTTTTATACGGGTACATACAAATGTTAAACACTCTTTTGTAATAAGGCGTCCAAATATATATTTTTTGAAAAAGGCGTTTTTAAATATTGTATATAAAGGTTATTCAGGGTCGGCAACACGTAAGTGACACCCCTAGTATTGCAAGCGTCTATAGGTTACAGTGACCGTTTACCACCAGACAGGCTGTATGCTTGTTAGATTAGATTAGATTTGTTTATTTGCCAGAACATTGTTTTTTACAGATATTGATCCATTGTGAAGTACAAATGTTCGCCTTATAGTCTAAAGCATGCAAAATTATTATTGGGTACAAGATATATTATATAAGTGACTTAACATTACACCGTCTATTTATTCAAGTAATAATAACAAAATTATAATACTAAAAACCAATCAATAACAATACATTAGATTCAGTTCAATGTCAGTGCTAATTAATAATAGAGTACAAATTATGTCATTCTGTAAATAATTCTCCCAAAAAACGATAACGTTTATCGACATTGTTGTTTGTCACCTTCGTGATTAAAATATATATATATATATATCTGAATATATTCAGAATAGTAATATATATATATATATATATATATATATATATATATATATATATATATATATATATAGTGTTTTTAGCTTCCTTAACGAGAGATGTATGTGAGAATAGATAGTATAGATAATAGTCTTTGGCACTCGGTTCCCCTGCCCCGCAAGAGACTTAGTGTGAAGACAGATAACTCACTTATTAAACTCCAATTTTACTACTCAAATGTCAGAATAAAATCACTAATAATTCCGGTTATAGTATTTTTTTTTTTATTTTTCGTTCTGTGTATTGAGTTTTCCATCCGAAAAATGGGTATTGGCGACCCGCACGAATGATAAAGTTGAATGAATTAAGGGGCCGCCTGAAAATCAGCGCTATATAGGTACATCTCGCTGGAGGTGTGCATATATAGCAACAGCTGAGGCGACTTCTATTACTAGCAAAATGTTTTTTTTTCTTTTTTTTTATTGTTTTTTTACCCGTTATTATTATTGTTGATAATAAAGACTCTATCCATCTAATTATGTCCGGTTTTCTGATTTTAACATTTAGTTACCCTACTCACAACAAAGATGTCGTTACTTTATCATATTTTAATATTATTTCACAACATTTAGACGTCTTTAACATTTTTAAGGATATTAACATGTACTTTTATACATGTATTTATTTATTTTTAACGGGTGCAGATGAAATATAAGGTTCTCAAATATATCCCTTCCGCCTTTTTGTCTTTTGAATTTCGCGGCTATGTACAAAGTGCTACAGAGCTCGTATCTGGCAATACTATACATCATTTGAAAGGTCTTGACATAACCTACAAAACGACACTATGCATGATTAGTTTGGAAATTGCGTTCAACAGTTATAGACGTGTAAACATGGAGTTCACTAACGCCGAAATTCGCGCCATTTGAACGTTTTTGTAAGAAAAAGGTTGTACACGGCTATAGACCTACAGCTCAATTAAATAGAAAAATAAACTGACTTGTGTCTTGTCACTAAAATAATCGTTGTAACATTGTACGTAATAAAATATTTAAATATTAAATAACATTATTGGTCTCCTGTAACATTCCACATCCATAAGGTTATGGGCCAGCAACGCACAGATGGCGAATACAAAAAATCAAGTTGGATTTGAACATCTTAATAAAACAAATTATGATACATGGAAAATACAAGCAGAAGCTGTACTCATAAAAGCAGGACTTTTTACATGTTTATCATCAACCGATATTAATGCAGAAAAAGATTTATTGGCCAAAGCCGAACTGCTATTAATAATTTCGCCGTCCCAACTTAAATTAGTAAAATCATGCAAAACAGCAAAAGACGTATGGGAGACCCTTAAAAACGCTTACGAAAGTCGTGGACCTGCACGAAAAGCAACATTATTAAAAAAGTTACTACACAAAAAAATGAAACATGATGAATCCGCCAGAGATCATATAAATGAATTCATCGACTTGGTGGATAAATTAAAAGATATGGACATCAGCATCAATGAAGACCTCCTGAGCATAATGTTATTATACAGTTTGCCAGATTCCTACGAGAACTTCAGAGTGGCAATCGAGTCCCGTGACAAACTTCCGTACCTCGAAGAACTCAAAACAAAAATTATTGAAGAAAGTGAAGCTCGTTTAAATAAAAATCTGGAAAAGGAGGAAGAAGAAACATTTTATGGAGGGAAACATAAACAAAAATCTTATCGATTTCAAAAATTCAAAAATAAGAATTCAAATGGAAATAGAATACAATGTGACAACTGTCATAAATTTGGACACAAAACAAGTGATTGTTGGTTTAACAAAAATGTAAGAAATAAAAATGTAAATTTATATTGCACTGAATCTTGTTATACAATAGAAAATAAAAATGATAATAAATGGTGCATTGATAGTGGGTGCACATCCCACATGTGCAATGATAAAACTCTTTTCGTGTACATAAATAAAGAAGAAAATGGAACACTTAAGTTAGCCTCGAATAAAACAGAAAAGATAGAAGGCAAAGGGTTAGTAAAGATAAAAATTAAAAATGAGACAGTAAATTTACACAATACCTTATATATTCCAGAGTTATCAACTAATTTGATATCCGTAGCACGAATTACTGAAAATGGTTTTAACGTATTATTTACAAAGAAAAATGCAATTATTAAAAATCCAAATGGAAAACCAATAATTACAGCAAGGAAGGAAGATAAACTTTATTATGTGAATGCAAATTTAAGCACAAAAGAAAAAGCAAATCAAGCCTATAAAGAAGAATCAGATATAGACATATGGCACAAAAAACTAGGACATTTAAATGAATATGATTTAAAACGAGCTATGAGAAATAATATAATAAAAGGCATTGATTTTAATGAGAATGACAAATTAAAAGAATGTGAAAGTTGCGTAAAAGGAAAAATGACGAATTTACCTTTTCCGAAGGAAAGGCCTGAAGAAACAAAAGCTCCTCAAAAACTACATACTATACACTCAGATGTGTGTGGTCCAATGCCCGTAAATAGTAACGGAGATCACAGATACTTCGTCACCTTTACGGATGAATACAGCAGATATGGCAGAGTCTATTTTCTGAAAAATAAAAATGAAGTTTTAGGAAAGTTTATAGAATATAAAAAGGAAATGGAAAGATATACAGGAAATAAAATAAAAATATTGCAGACAGATAACGGAAAGGAATATGTTAATAACGAATTCAACACGTATTTAAAGGAAAACGGCATAGCTCGACGCTTATCAGCTCCTTATACGCCCCAACATAATGGGTTAGCTGAACGGAGAAATAGAACTCTCTTGGAAAAAGCTCGATGCATGTTAATCGAATCAAAAATACCAGAAAGTTTTTGGGCCGAAGCTATACACACGGCGAATTATATAACGAATAGAGTGCCTTCCAAGGCCACAAATGGAAAAACACCTTTCGAGATATGGGTTGGTTACACTCCATCAGTGAGACATTTCAGATGTTTTGGAGTAAAAGCTTTTGTATTAAATAAAAGAAATTTAAGAAAATTTTCACCCAGAGCCAAGAAAGGATTTTTTGTCGGCTACTCCGA